GTATCCTGATTATTCACCGTTTTGTTTTAGGCTATATTATTTTAGGCTATATAAAAGTTATGAGGTTCTTCAAACGCCGTGACTTACTGGATTTAATGTAAGTTTACAACTCTTCGATAGCAAGTTGGTTCTGGAATCCTGGAACAACATGCAAAGATGTTTGACTATTGCGTTAAACGTGCTAATAATGGCTAAGTATTTTGTAGGTCTCAAGTGATGGCACCAAAAGGCGGTTACAGGAAAATTCCTGGTGATGAAGATAATAAAGTCAGTTTTGTATCTTCACTTTTTTATCGTTGGATGAACGGAGTCCTTAAGGAGGGCAGTCAGAGACCTTTGGATCAAAATGACTTTTTACCCTTGTCAGACGAGAACTCTGGCCGTTTTGTCACCGACAAGCTTCAAAAAAGCTGGGAAAGCGAGAAACATCATTGCAAGATAAATGGGGAAAGGCCCAAACTTTGGAGAAGCGTGTTTTATATGCTTTCTGTCAAAGATGTTATCATCATTTTGACGGGGAACATATTGTTTGCAACTTCTCGCCTTCTCTTTCCACTGTTTCTCGGGTATCTTGTTTCTAAGCTTATGTCAACTGAGGCAGAAAATACTTATCGGCTCTACGCCTGCGCATTAGCTATGTGTCTAAATGGTTTGATCGGTAATCTTAGTATGCACCAGCAAGACTACAGATGTGAAATATTGGGAATCAAAATAGGAAGCGCCCTGAGGGGACTGGTGTACCACAAGGTAGGCACGATTCTAAAGAGCATTCTATGCAGTTGTCGAAGGCTCAACTGATTTTTTTAACACCCTAAACATCCCAAATTAAGCCGAACAAACGTGAACACAGTTATCTATCCGATATAGAATGGTTTTTTTCTACAAATCTGATCGATTGCTATCGGCTTATGCCATATGGAGACCCAGGAGGAGAGGATTATTCAATTTCATTTCTGGTTGCTTCTTTTTCGAGAACAAGCAATCCTGCTCTCTAACAAAAAAAATTGAAGAAACAAACAGTTGTTTAGCCTGCAGTAAATGGGGAAGCAGGCTACAGAAACCATAACGTACGTATACGGCCGTGCTTCTGAACGATATTCAAAATGGCGCATGAGTTGTCGCTCTTTTAACACATCTAAAGATAATTTTGTAGAGCTTTGAATACTCTCGTCTCGAAACGGAGCCACGGATATCTTAATGCAGGACATTAAAATAATATGGTTTATGGAACAGACTTCTTCTTTAATGTCTAATCTCTACCTTCTTTCAGACGCTTCTACTCAGCAAGCAGACGTTACTGAAATTCACTGCAGGACGCTTATTTGACCTGATATCCAATGATGTTAAAAGAATGGAAGAAGAGACAGTCAAGTTTTTTGCCTTAGCTGTTTTCGCAGTTCCTGCTTATGCAGCGGCAATATTCCTTATCTACAATTTGATTGGTTGGCAGGCTGTTACGGGTGTGTTCTTCCTGTGTATTCTCATGCCATACTATGCCGTCTTGTCCTATGTTAATGCTAAGCTGCGCTTGCGCACAGCTACAGTGTCGGATCAGCGAATCTCCCTGATGAATCAAGTAGTTTCCGGGATCCGCGCGGTCAAAACGCATGCGTGGGAAGACGAATATGAGCGAAAGATAAAACATGTGAGAAGGTAAGGTAAATTATATTTTTTAATCAGAAGTAGGCTCAAACAAATACTTTATTCATTCCCGTAAATTTTGACCCTTATTATTCAAAACTGGGAAATAGATAGCCACAAATCTGTTTCGTCTCCACTGAGAGCTTTATTAGCTAGGCTGTTTAAATATACCCCCTTATCACCAAAAGGGAGATCTTTGGACCGCTGTATGAGCCAATCAGAATGCCTCTTTTCACAAAGAATAAGTGTCTCATGTAACCCATTCCATAACCGGAGGACTGGCCAGTCAGTTAAAAAAAATAGCAGTACCTACTGAGTAGATAGTGTTAAAAGAGCGCTCTAGCTGGTTACTTAAACTCCGAGTATCCTTTGGAATTCACCCTCGAGCGACTCTTGAGAGATTTGCGCCAGAAGACATTGTAATCGTTTACACCTCAGTGTCGGTGAAAGAGGGTGGTTATCACCTCCACTTCGGAGAATAATCGTTTATTATTAGAGGTAGAACATCTCAAACAGCCTAACCTGTCTTCAGTTGGTATTATTTCTCATACGCTGTATTGGGGTAGCAAGAGACACACTTTCACAAAGAAGTGAACGATGAGGAAGGGTGCGCTTGACGCCCGCTCACCTCGTTAATATTTCAATTTAGAGAGGACACTGACAGTTTGACAGAATGCCCACATAACTTATGAACTTATGATAACCTTTTATCTTCAGAAATGAAATCAGCGTCATTTCGAAGAGGACAGCCATTCAGTCAAGTATCGATGCCTTGACATACAGTGCAACGCCACTGGCCACTCTGGTGTCAGTAATTACTATGGTGCTTACAGGCCAGACCATCACGCCCGCCAATGTTTTCATGCTGCTGTCGTTTATGGGTGTTTTAAAATTTATTGGCATGTTGAATTTGACACCCGGTTTAATGGTAACGTATGACGCCTATGTTTCGCTCGGAAGAATCGAAGAATTTCTTCTTTTGGAAAATCTGT